TTTAGCTTTGTATATCACACTGAAGGGACTGGWAAATGAAAGCTGTCTACTTCTGCTGTTCACATTTTTAATAGGCTGTTGGGCAACTGGAGCAGATGCAGGAAATAATAAAACATTTAGAGAAAAGAGAAAATGTCTTAAAGAGAGGAATCTTCATGGACCTTTAGCTTGCATCTTGTCCAGACCAGGCTTTTCTAAGAATAATCTGCAATTGCAATAAGTGGGCAGAGAGAGAGGAAGTTAACTGTGAGYTGAAAAGCAAAGTGTACCTTTTTGCAGTGTTGTCACTTCACACAKAAATTTCCTCTTCTTAATATTAACCAAATAAAAACCAGAGGCCCAGGCTTATGCTAATTCTTTAAATTCGGCTCCATAGGTATTGGGAAGAGAATGACACCTTCCGAGGGTGACTCAGTTTAGGTTTGCATCATGCTCCCTGTACACCCGCCTTACCATGGATCACAGAGARAGCCTCGATAACTAGAACCTTAACTTTCAGATAGCTAAAATTAAATAGGAAGAATTTCACTTGCAGTTACCCTTCTGAATATGAGAGCATATGCCTAAGGTCTGTCAAGCGCTGCATTTGATGAACACAGTCATGCCTTTACTCCACCTACGCCGAAAGCTGCCTGAGTCCACGTCAGATTTGGTTCAGGAATCTTGAAGCTGTATTAGTTCTGCATATGGTTACATTTCCAGCTGAAAGCCCGAGCCCATTTGCTAAAGCAAAAGCTGCCCAGCTTTGCACCAGGTTAATGTCCAGATGATTCCGTGGGAGAGGAGGAAACTTTCTGTACGCGCCCATGCAGCCGTGTACTAAACAACTCACATTCTCCATTTGTGTTTTTCATACTTGAGATATCTAGGCAATTTTCTGCAAAACTCTCAACTGCCAGGAATTAAACTATGATACCATGAAACTGCCTTTGCCATCTGTGAGCGAATAAGTCATACTGAAGTTTACTTCCCCAAAATGGGCTTGCTGGTTACTTTTGTACAGTAGCAACACACTCTGAAATTATGCCAGTTTATTTTAATTACTCCAGCTTATTATTCAGACCACTCTCAGAAGGAAGGCAATTATCTGTAGACACAAATGCAATATTGTAGTAGATGAGCCGTCTGTGATTAGAACACTAAGAACAATATTAATCATATTATGAGATATTACAATTTCTACTTCCTTGGATCAAGAGGGAAAAAGGAGACACAATTAAATTTATTACTGTATAAATATGTCATGTTTATTCAGTCAGTGGATAGGAAATCTTTTTTTTTAATAATCTTGGACTGAAATGTATGTTGTTTTTTTTTCCTGAAGTGCATTTTCATTTTTTTAATACCAACCTGGAAATGTCTGGAGGCTGAACCCTTAGCACTACAAATCAGAGCAACTTAATTGGAGCCACCTTACCAGCTGCCCTGGTATTGTCACAGTTGTATGAACCTTTCACTCTGAGAAAAGGAAAATACACGAGGGACTATCCTGCACCTAAGTGACCTGCTGTTATTTACGAATTTATCCTATAGATACTGGAACAAATCTTCATGTCAGAGAAGGCGCACACTACTTATGAAGTAGTAAAGATGAAAAGAGGGAAAAGCCRAATTCTTGAGTGTTCCCTGACTACTTCAGAGCTGTTTATTTCAAGAATAATTATTCCATTGTAGATGCCTCAGTGGGATGGAGAGAATTCCTGGAAAAGAGAATGACAAAACTCAGATTTGAGAGCTAGGGAAACCCCTTTGGGTCTGCAGGTGCAGATGTGCTCCTTAATAATCAGTTGTAGTAGAACAGGATTATGATTTCGCCATTTCATATGTCTAAACATTTGCCAATTACTCATTAAAAAATTATAGCACGTATTATTACTTCTTTATGAGTCAAATTAATATCCCACCCCCATCAGGCAATGGAGATTCGTAGTCAGGGCAGGACACTCCCTCTTTCTGCAAACTGCATGGAAATCATGTCTATGTTTCAAGAGATCTTACTTTTCCTCCTAGTAAAGTTTTGCTTATCTGTAACAGGTTACACTTGGAATTAGATATAGGAAAGATTGAAGTATTTATTTTTTTTTTCCATCTCTGAGAAAGGAAAACAAATTCTTTATGTTCTTATGCTTAAATACTTTGTTCAGCCCAGGTTATTGACATGGCTAAATCTGGAAGAGTGTTCCAGCAGCCCCATTAGAAAACATAGTGATCTGTTATCAATTATGAATGATTTTATACCTTAACACAATTTTGGGATATTACCTACTCTCTCCATTCAGTTTGGAGTGCACATTGATACTGCATGACCTCAGCTTGGGCTGTAAGTCAATAGGGGACAGTACATGCATTTGCTTTGTTGAATATTTTAAGTGAAGCTTAATGGCTGGAAAGGCCCAAGGAGCCAGTGGTCTTCATCAAATCATTATGTTACTGATCACATGAAGAGTCACTAAGTTTTAATTGCGTACCAATTAGTCATTCAGTTTGAATAGGCTGTCTAGAATCCTACAATCAGTGACTGGAGAAAGAGCATGAAATTAGATGAGACAGTTCCTACCAAAGCCCTTAAGATGATCCCACTTATTTATACTGTTAAATCTCAGCTGAGAACATCCGTTTGATCTGTGTATTTATGCAGGATCTGGTACTGCAAAGATGTGGTTTGTGACATGGACCTGTCGTTTCACCATCATAAAAAATAGCAGTGTAACAGCAATAGTATTTACATAGAGTTTAGAGTATAATTTTTAGAATACAATACTCSGTGACTTGGGGAATCTGATGCAGCATCACACATTATGTTTGTGTGCACAGTTAGCAAAGTTTAGAATAAAAAATATCAATAAGTTTCTTTTTGTAAAATATTTGGTTGGGTTTGATCAGATTTTAGGAACAGTCTGAGACTAAAAACCTAAGACGTCAGAGTGTTTGAAGGGATGRATAAGCCATCCAAGGAAATTTAATACCCAAATCCACAGACTACTACCAGAATCTCAGAGGCCTTTTTCAAAGGCCTTTACTGAATGAGGGAATGTGATGGATGTGATTATAAGAGACAGCTGGTGGCAGGAGAGGCAAAAGGAAAGGTACTGTCTGCTGTGCTGCTTTGCATGGGCATAAATCTGTGGATGTCATTTGTGTGTGGCATGGGGGGGATAAGAATTTGCCTGTTGTAGAATCATTAAATGAACCATTTAATAGAGTGTCCCACTTGGAGGGAATAATTGCAGCATCTGATTCTTGAGATCATGATAGACATTTTTGTTTTATTACAGGGATATGTAACTGACATTACAGATAATGTCTATTTTATCTTTGCTTGTGCTTTTTTTCAGGGGAGGATATTGCTTGTGTTGCTCTGGTGATGTTGGTGAAAAGTAGTGCTTTATTCCTTTTGTTAATGTGCTCAGGTAATCAGGGGTTACATTAAATTACTCTGAGCTTTTGTTGTCTTCTGTGGTTATGATCAACCTTTGCAAAATGAAAATTATGTTTGCATATGAAACAACATCTAACAAAAGCCAATGAAAAGGACAGAAAAAGTAATTTAACTAATTAAGAACCCAGTCTGTGTGACAACAAGACAACACTTAGTTTCAGAACCACTCAGMCTTTCTGGTTTTGTCCACTTAAAAGTTAATTATACTATAGTCAGTGTAGARTTATATACTCCAGGGAATGGACTTGGCTGAAATACCCACATTTCTTGTATCTTCCAGGTACCTGGCCTTCATTATACCCCTAAAGCATGTAATTATCTTGTAACAACTAYACACCTTGGTGCTTTTATGCTCTCCTTAAAACTGTTATATTTATTCTTTTCTTCTAAAGCCCCAGGCAGATGAAAAGTTGCTAACAAAATGATTAAGGCATCTTATTACAAAGCTAGAGATTTGAGTTTTAGTGCAGTTGAACTTATGTGGAAAGCACCCTCCAGCTGGCCATGTTTTAAATGAGAGTTTGGTCTCTTGTCTCAGGGACGTGGTTAATATCACATCGAATTGTATGATCTGACCTCTTGCATAGGGCTTGCCAATAAAAGAAATTGGCTACTTCTACCATAAGAGCTTAGCAGACTGCTTGAGCTCCTGGGAGACCTTCAACCTGGTGTAATTCTGAGCAAAGTCATCAACAAATGTATTAACCAAAAATATATTTGATACTGTGGCTTTTAAAGGTAATGAAAATGCCTTCTGATGTCTTCAGGGAGTTTTGGATAAAGCGTTTCCTGCTTTTGTTTGCATTCAGATATGAAAAGGAGTCTGCATGTTCCACTGTTTCCCTTTTCTTTTCTTTTTCGAGGGAGCTATAGCTTTAGAGAAAAATGCTTGAAGATTTTAATCTGTATGTAGCCTATTTCCATATTTTCTGAGGAGGGTTTCACAAGGTTTCTTGTCTAAATTAGCATGTGCTTAAATGTTTTACTGCATTAGGGCAGTGATACAGAATCCTATATAGACCTTAAAGAAAATGAATTACCCCATGACACAACACCAGAAAAATTCCAGTCATTTCCATCACTGAGCCTTCCTCTGTGGGTGAAGCTATTGTTATGTGACCGTAGAGTATAAGAACAGATGAACTGACTCAGACAAAAGATATATCTATGACAGTGGCAAGAAATAGATCATAGAGAGATTATATAATAACAAAGCAAACATTTTCCAGAACATAATACAGAATTCTTCTGTACTCCTCAATAATGTGCTGCTCAGCTGATACCCCTCAATAGATTTCAATTCCACGAAATTGTTCAATCACCTCTTAAACTTGGGTAAGAAGCTTTTACCATCCAGAATAATCACGAGTAGGGCAGGAGGGATCACAGTTAATCTGTACATTGAACACCCAGATTTTGCTTGTTGGTTTCTTTGTTCTGAACCCATGGCTTCATTTTCAATCATTTGATATCCTTAGTTACTGGGAGGAACAGTGAAAGACGTCTTCCTATTTGCTCTAGTGAGCCATAATTTTGTATTCCTCTGTCACTTCTCTCCTTAATTTGCTTTTTCTCAGCCCAACAAGTCTATGCAGTTGTTCCTTACTGGGTGGCTGCTCCACAGTTTTGAGCATTCTTGCATCATGGTTCTCCAGCTTCACAGCTGTGCTGTTTTCTCTCGGAGGTGGCCGACCAAACCACTGTAACTGCACTGTAATTGGGATAAGGGTGTAGCCTGGATTTCTAGAGTGTCACCATGATAATCTCTATTTCATTCTCTACTTCTTGGCAAATATTTGCTCTTTGACCATTACTGAGTAGTACTGATCAGCTCAGAGCCATTAGTGTATATGTAAAGTAAGGACTGATTTTTTTTTTTTCTCCCCATGCGTATCACTTTACATTTATCTAYGGTAGATTTCATCTGATGTTTTATTTCCTAAATATTTAATCTCATAATACTCTCCTTCATTTTTATCACCAACTCTTATCCTGAAAAAAATCCTGCTATCCTGAAAAAATTTGTATGATCAGTAAACCTTTGTCACCTCACTGTTCCCTCTCTTTCCCAGATCACTTACAGACTTACTGAAGAGAAGAGATCTCTGAAGAATGCTGCCATTGACATCCTTTCTTTTTCCTTTGGTACTCATGTGCGGTATTAATTTTCTCTTTTTTTTTCCTAGGGCAGAAGTACCAAACCAATACAGGAGCACTTTATCAGTCACAGGATCTCAGGCAAGTCATTATTTCCTGGCAATGTAGAAAAAACATGACAAGGCTGTACTCTTGTTTTAAATTTACCTTTGCATTATTTTTCTGTTATACATTAATCTTGAAGCTAATTCTCATTTTCTGCACCTGTAAATCTATCAGAGCTTGCATATAAATGATTATAAGTTATTTCTGAGTTCAACAGAGAAGTTGTAAAACTTCAGCCATTCAGAGCAGAGTTTTATAAATTCAACAGTTGTACCAAAGTGAATCCAGAGGTTTCTCATTGAACTGCATAGAGCTATTTCAGATTTACATCAGGATAGCATAGAAGGAATATGGTTCAGTCTCCTGCAATGAATTCCATGTCACTGTGAATTACAAGCTGCTAAATAGAGGTATCTAATGCATATTTACCTTCTGTATATTCATGCGTTGCTATTGCAAGCGAGCACATTTATGGTCAGTCACAATAGCTCTTTGCTGTTTAACTAGTTGACAACTGTGATTTACAAAAGTAAAGATGTTCACTTGAAATGGTAGAAAATAAAATCCTTCAAGTTTTGTTTAGTGCTTTTAACATTTTCCAGCAATTCCCCTCAATCTTATTTTCCTTGCCTATCATATATACTGATTTCTTATTGTATGAGGATTAACAAACTTCTTACCCACCTGACAGCATTTTAAAAATCATAAACTGACCACATCTAGAGAATTCAGGCGATCCTACAAACTACAGAAAGAAGAAAGCAATTAGATAACCTAGTGCAGTACCATAATGTCTCCAACTAAAACAGGATTGATCGCTCCCTCATGCACATTTCCCCATATTTTGTTCAGAGTAGTTTKAAATGATCCATGCAATGGACATGTATCCACTCCCTACAGAGTGGAGGCTATTCTCCAAACTAATGGATCTGACAGCTATGACTTTTCTCTTCTTCCTAATCTTAAATGCTCCTTTTCTTTATGTAATGTCATTACTCTTGACTTTTATGTGGCTTGCATAAAATTAGAGAAATATAAAATTATAATAATGCTACAATGAGTGTAAGTTCAACTTTATTAAGCCAGGCTATGGCCTAGCTTTCAGTAGTGCCAAGTAACCATCCATTAATTATTCTTGAGTCTTGAGGCTCTTGACAGTGCAGGATCACAGCCCTGTGTCCCTGCAATGTGGTCAGTGTRCACCTCTCAGAGTGACAGAAACTGTTGAGAACACTATAAAACACACCGGCCCCTCTGCCTTCACAACCTTTCACTTGATATAAAACACCATAACTCTAGCAAATAGCAATGGACATACAAATATTTGGATTACTCAGTCTATCCAACAGAAAGAGGGATTTTGAGCCTGTACTGAACCTGGAAAGGGAGGGCAGACCATTTGGGAAAGCCTTGAGTGGTTTAGTGGCACATCAGCTGGGACATGAGTGAGATTCATTTAAAACTGTCATTCAGTGTTTTTGCACTGTTCATGTACAAACATTCAACCTTAACCCCATGGTTAGCATCATGTTGGTTAGCACCAACATCTCTAGCACCTAAAAGCAGTTAAACAGGTTCGGTTTCAGCCCATGTTCCTGAAAACTAAACTGTAGACCCAAGCCAAAATTTCTTCCTCACCCGATAACTCAAGCTAAGGTTGACATTTCCTGTGCCAGGGCCTCAACACTGGCTCCTCATTCAGATCGTTTTGTTGCTTTATTCTTTATTGTTCTGTTAGAATACATATATTTTTTGCTTATTCAACTTAAACTACCACTTCTATGTTGATTTTTTTTTTTTTTCAGAAATTTCTGTGTCTTTAATATGTATGTATAAGTTTACTTCTCCTCATCTCATTACCTGCATTTGGTCAAGGTGAAGCCTCTGCTGATTCCTGCTCATTTTTCTAACCTATCTCTTTCCCTTTGTATTATTTTCTCTCCCAACGGTGTTTGCAAAACATCTCAGTATAGCTGGATCCACAGACTTTAATTAATGTCCTGTTTGCTTCTTCTTCAAGACCATTAATAATGCTGTTAAGTAACAGTAGGCCTAACACCAGTCCCTTGCTCCCGCTGAACACAGCTTCTCATCTTAATGCATAATTGTTTATTTTTACTTCCTATTCATGATCTTTTAGCCAGTTTCCAGTAAGCACAAAATCGTTCCTTTTTGAGCTGTATTGGGAATGATTGTGATTCGAATTTAAAACAGTTAGTTCTTGGGAGAAAATAAAACCAAAGCTAATGAATATATCCATACAAAATGCTATTGCTTCTTTTATTGCAGGTATATTTAAGGCATAGGAGACAACTTTATTATCTGTTTGTCTAAATAGTTTTCTATATTGAGGTCCCATTGTCACACAGTATTCATGCTCTTTGAATATAAGCAATAACTGCTTTAAATAACTGAAGTACCTCTATGGAAGACAAAGCAAACGTGGGTCAAAGACCAATTGCACAGCTGGTATTATTTGTTGCAGTTCTACTGAAGTTAAGCTATTATTTTTACATCAGAAAAAAAATAATCATTGGAATGACCCAACATGGTACTTGGTAGATTGTCGTCAGAACTGGATACCTTATTTGAATATATTCTCTTATCATCTAGCTCAGTCAAAAACAATGGGGCTTATTGCAAGCAAGAAAAGACATTTGGTTTGTACCCTGCAGGTAGGGAGTTAAGATTAACTTTTATGATTTCTTTTCACCTTGAAAATTGATGGGTTTGTGTTTGATGCCAGATAATGGTCTTATGTCAACTCTTCCTTGTAAATGGAATATTTGCATATAATTAAAATACAGTTTTCTGTTCTATTTCATCATTGCTTTTCCAAGTTTGTTTGGAGCAATAATAGTATACACCGGCATAATGGGGAACATAATGCCTGATTCAGTCTTGGAAAATCAAATGTCAGAACATTTCCTCAGGCATTGCATAATTATTGACACAAGCCTTGGGTACTGTTTGAGATTTGTTACTACTGCAAGCACAAGAGAGTCATTTTCWGTTCCTGGGGCAGGGTGATGGAGATGAATAGGACTGTTCTCTCCAAAATATCCTGACATGAGAAGGAAAAACACCAGGCTTCTCTGACCGAGGTCAAAGCAGAGGAACTTAYGGCAGCAGAGCATATCAGTTAGCTCATGCATGTGAGGTAGAACAGTGTACATACAAAATTACACATTTGACTCTGAAACCAACCATATTARCACAGTGCTGCAGCTGATGTAATTAGCCCTGCCTGACTAATATGGCTATACTACACCTGGGTTTGAACTGTTGCTTCTTAGACTTTAAGGCCCAGGGTTACTAAAGTGGAGCAAGCTCTGGTTTATCCCTGCTCATCAGCACTGTTTCACCCATGGTGCCCCCATGGGCTAAGGAGGTCTGTGAGGTCATGGCCACAAACCTGTCTCCCAGGGGAAATACCCACAGCAGAGAAAAGGCTCTGTCAGGGCAAAGCAGAATTGGGTCACGTTTCTAGAGAAATCTGCCCAGGAGATTTGTGATTGCCACAGCTGTGTCAATAGCAAACTGCTTGGACTACCAGGAATATCAAGAGGAACCTGCCCTGTTCTCAGACAGCAGAGCCAGACACAGGAAGGACACTGTCACCTCCAGGCTGTTGTGACTGTCACCACTGATGCCTGCAGAAATTGGTTAGTCCTGGCTTTTTCATATTCTGGGATTACTTGTACCTTTTAATTACAAGTACTTGTCTGTGCTCAGAGCATGGCCGGGGTGGCAATGGAACCATCAAGCTTGTGCTCATAAACATAGAGCTTTGCAGCATCCCAGTGATAAGGGGAATTGGTTTCTTTTTAACTTTTTTTCTTGCTATGTAGGATGAAAAATGATGAGGTAATTTGCCAGCCTTTATGCAACTGGCAGATGGGTTATATTAATATCATAAGAACATATTGTTCCCAATGCCTGCTTCAAAGCAGAAATGCTATATTGGGCCTGGATTCAGTAAAGTGCCAAGGCACGTGCTTATATTTATTTCTTTTCAGCAAACTAGTTAGGTACATACCTGACTTAACCATAATGGATGTTTTAACTGGTTTCCCATGTTAGTGAGAGATCAGCAACATCTTGTTCTTCACACTAACATGCTAGTGAGAAAGACAATTTTCATTTACCAGTGTTTTGCTTCTGATTGTTTAATAACCCTCTCTGACCCACCGTAGCCAAGTGCTACGCACAGCTTTCGTACAGTAAATGCTGTAAATAGCTCTGGATGTGGAAGGCAAGATTTCAATTGCTGAATAGTTACTTAAAAAAGATGTGTAAAGCAGCTAATAAGGCTGCCTCTCTCGTACACTAGGATCCTGAGTCGCAGGGAACATGGTCTCAGTTCTAATTGTTTATAATCCTTGTACAGATACAATTTATAAATACCATCCTTCCACACTTCATAACGAAGAGAGGGTTGTATGAGATTGGTGAAATCTTTAATTCAGAATAGGTATTTTAATACACAGTTAATCAACAGTCTGACACATCAGTAGCTTTCTCATAACTACTATACTGTTATTGCTCCAAACAAAAATATAAATAGGCATTTCTGYTATGGTTGAGAGAAACCCTCCCATTCATCCACATGTGCTAATAACTCTAAAATGCCTACAACACATCTTAACAGTATGTCACCAGCACAAACACTCACCTCTATTGTTTAGATGGAATTAGAAGTCCACAGGTGAAGTTAAGTTTCTTATTCTCTCGATAGCCATCTAGAAAACTTTTTTTTTTCCTTCTTCAGTAGCCCTGCTTCAAACACAGCAAGTAAGATTTGTTCTATCTACAAATCACACTGCCAATAGGGAAAGCACAAAAGCACAATTTCTGACTAGATTCTATCTTAACACTCCCTCCACCTGTGCAGCAGCAACAGCCTATCTATGCTCTGAACAAGCTGCATTAAAAGGAAAACTGATTTATTTAAATCTCAATACATTTCAGCAAGTCTGGGGATATGGGGAATTCATAACCAGGCAGAGGGAGCTGAAAGAAGCTTTTTTTTTTTTTTTTTTTTTTTTTATCTCCTGTGAATGTCCTGGCTCGAAAGCATTACTACTCTTGTAGGAAGACAAACAACAGCAAATGAAGAAAAACATAAACACAAGTTACACTCTCATTCCCTTTCTCTCTCTCTTTTCCTGAAGAGAAGGACTTAATTGTGATAACAGGCCATTTCTGGAGGATTAACAGCCTGTACCTTTGGCCAATTGGCTGTTCATGGTCTCTATGCATTCTGTTGAGCTATATAATTCTGGCTTGCAAAACAGTTTGAAACAAGGGAAAAAGAAAACCACTATTCCTCTGAGTCTGCAAATTGCTGAGCGTAGGTGCATTTTATTACTATTATTATTTAATTTATTTATCTATGCACAGTGTTAGAGCATAGAAAGCATTGGACTTCATTATGTTAGGTGCTGTACTGACGTATAACAAAAAAGACAGTGCTTGAAGCTTTATAGTCTAATCAAAGTCCTATTATTGTTACCTTACAGCTTTGAGGCTTAAGTACACAACTAAGTGCTGATTCTAGGAAATTAAGAATCCTTTTCCTCCCAATAAAACATTTTTAGACAAAGGAGAAAGGCAGGAAACTGAACTTGAATACTGTGGTTTCATTGCTCTTGCCTTTAGGARACAGCTAACCTTTCAAAGGCAGAGACTGTGGAGAATATATTCATCAGGGAGGGAAAGAACACTGACGGATTTACTAGTATCTTATTTTTATTTTATTACCAAAACAAACAGCTGTCTTCTTGATATACAAGCCCATAAGTTGCTCATAGAACACGTAAGGTGAAACACTGGCAGGACTGAAATGTATTCACCTTGACTTCATCTTTGGCTTCACCTTTGACTTGAGCAAGGCCAAGATTTTGGTACAGCATGGCTTTCATTCATTTAGCTTAGCTTTAAAGGCTGTGTTGTTCTCCTGAAATAGCTCACGTAGGGCTCAAACTGTGAAATAYCTGTTGAAAATATGTATCAGCCCGACTCTTGCTGCTTAAAAAAGTGCCTCACACTGAAAAAGGCTCAGGATTCAGATACTACCAAGATTTACAGAGTTTGGCCTTGGTAATGTCGCTAATAGTTATTACCCTAAAAATATAGGGATCTATGGGTGTTACAGATCCTACATATCCTAAAAGTTAAGAGCTATCTCCAAAACTTGGACAATTTCTTCAAAGGGTCTTGAGGGTCATGTCAGTGAGATTTAAGCAAGTGCATTGTTTGGTAAACCTAATCTACGGCCTTGCTTAGAAATTGCACATGGCAGGAGTAGAGCAAATCCTTGCATGGCATAAATCATTATTCACTTTCTCAGCTCTGGTAGGATGCTAAATACTCCCATGTATTGCTCAGCAGTGAAAAGATTAACACTTGCCCAGACATAAGGTGGCCCAACAGCTGTAGGTCCTTAAGGATTCTGTACCAGCTGCCAGGAATCTGCAAAAGTTGCTGCAGGTGATAGAGGAGCCCAATCAATTGCATTATTTCTAGGCTTCCTTGGTCAGCTGGGAGTAATTAAGATAACGGGCCTGTAAAATGGCAGTGGAAAACACTTCTCTGGGTAGCTGGGGTGGGTTTTGATGCATTGCAAGCAGGGAGGGAAATAGAGCATGTTAATGCTCCCAGCCAAGGTGAAGGGGAAGCTGTGGAATTTGGTGCTGTGCTAGAAACTTGCCCTCTTAATGAGGTGATCATAAAATGCCACTTCCTCAATGCTAGCACATATTTTTGTAGAGCRTCTTTATTTTTATATGAGGTAGGGATGGCCATTTTTTCCACTCTGTCTGACAGCAGGCTGACCAAATACTACTCGAAGGAGCATTGTGGCTGTTTAGTGCTTTCCTCTTTCCTTTGGCTCTACAGTTCTCAATTAGCTTTTAAGTTGCATTATAGATCGGCTAACAGTTGTGCAGTTAAATCATTAATTACCTTCTCAGTCAGTTGGGAACTCAATTTCACTTTGGTTTGCAGTTTGTGCTCCACAGTAGATTACTTAGCTAATCCATAAACATCTTCAGACAGTATAATTTGAAGAAGTTAATGATGAGGAAGTTTAGACAATTTTATCTCCAAATAATTCTTAGTTAGGCATATGAAATAGAAAGGGTTTATGAAGGAAAGGGTTCTAGCTATGCAAATATCAAACCAGACATGTCAGGAAAATTTAATGAAAAAAATTGTGTTCCCCTCTGCCCCTGACAAAGAGCAAGAAAAACAGTTTGCCTTTTTTACCGTTTAGGAGATTAAAAGAAAGATAAGGACTCAGCAGAATACTTGGATTGCGAGCCAAAGCGCTTTCTCTGCTAGATGTTGCACCTCTTGCACTGAGGGTCCCTTAGGAATCCTTTCATGKGACTGAAAGTCATATGGAGGGGAGGGCAGTCTGTATGTTCTGTCCCCTTAGGGGACAAACTATGACATTTGACATTTGAGGGACTCCTAGTAAGTGTCMTAGCCAACCCTTTAGTATGGCACATAATAGAATCAGCCTGCATGTTGTTTGTGAGGTAGTTTGGCTCCTTGCCTTCCAAGGAAGGCCTTTCCTGGCCATGTTTCTCCTTGTATCAGTTTCCTTAGGAAGGAGAAGAAAACGTGCACCTTGCAAACAGAAGCTATGGCTTGCAAAGTTTCTCTCAGAAACTTCCAAGTAAGGGAATTGTATGCACCTGCCTGAAGCCCTTATGGAAGGGTCAGCTTAATGCTATGGGCTGAGCAGAAAGGCAGCTTTGTGTTCCAAATAACAATGACAAAGTTACCTGTTCTACTTTCTTTTTTCCCTTTTTTTAAATTTTTTTTTTTTAATTTTTATTTTTCTGGAGATAGGTTACAGAAATTTTACTTTAAAAGAAAAGCTTAGGAAGGTAAAATAATTCTGTATTGGGTCTGTTAAACAAACAAGTCACCCTTTCTAAGGAGGATTTTTTGTCTGAACTGTTCCTTCTTGTTGATGAAGAGTATCTGTAGAATTTGGCTCTCCTACAAGTACAACCATGAATAATGCATGGTGACTAGAAAAGAACGGACAGCAAATAACAACAGGAAACAAATACCACACTTTGCAGGACAAATTTCCAGGTGCACAATAATTCCTTCTAAAATCTGTGAACCTCATGGGATTCTCATATATTTTCATGAACACCTGCAAGCCATAAATATCCTGATGCCGCATATTGCAGCTGAATTTGCTGCCTTCATTTGTGGGGGGAAAAATCATATTCGTATAACTCATCTATCTCTTGTGTCAAGCACCTCTGCTCTGCTTCTCGGTTCTACAATTCAATGTAAACAGGAGGCTAGTTTGCAACTCCCACACACAGAGAATAGCTTCTTCTGGGGATCATGTTGGAGGTAGGTAATGGATTGAGCAGGGCCTGATTCAGTTTGCAGGGAGTAACTGAAATGCTCTGCACAGGGCTCTCCTAAGAGACTGATCCTTCCCCTCTCTCCCATTTAGGCATCCTCTATCCAACTGGTGCAAGAAAGGGTGACATTGGAGGGGCTTTTCGTGTTGACTTTGCAGGGAGGTTTTGTTCTATCAACTACTGGAATATTTCTGTCAATATTTCAGAGTCTTAGGTCACACTGATAAGGCCTTTACAGCAATAGCATGTCAAGAGTTCCCAGCAAAACAAACAAACAAACAAAAAAAGATATTTGCATGAGATGTATGCATCTAAAGGAATGTATTTGCAGCAAACATTACAATATTTTTCAGTGGACGCATTTTTGAATTGAAGCATGTCAGGAAATGCGAGGAAGTTGTGCCTTGCACAGAAGTGCAGTGTTAGCTATGGACCTTGATAGGAATTTGAGAGGAAAGTCAGAAACGCCTCTCCAGAAGGCTAAAATTGGTGTCTGAGACGTGAAAGCCGTGGTTGCCAAATCAGCAGGTTGTGATCTGTCTCTAGCAATGCCAGGGGACTCATCACTTCTGTTAATTTCTTACTTTTGGACTTCTGTGAGTGTATCTGCAGCTTTGCCAATGAGAATGCCCTTAACTCTGTTCAGGTGCTGCAGGTGAGATAAAGGATCCACCTCTTTAAGGTKGTGAAAATAGTTGGGGGCTTTCTGAGGGCTCATCTGTGTAAGTAGTAGCAGAAARAGAGATTTTGTGGTTTGTATTTTTCAATGTCTGTGTGAAAGAAGGGAGATTTGAGAGGGGAATCCATAGGAAAAAAAAAAGACAAAAGGAAAAAAGCCACAAGCTTCTGATTATCTCCCCCAGCTAATTCTTTAGGATGTTTTCAGATTCAAACAATGCAGCGTGCTGATTATATTCTATTCATGTGGCTAAAGATGCCCTTGCAACTCTGGAAGATGATTAAAGTTTAACTTAAATAAACCAACAATTTAGATTTGGACGCAGTTATAGGATTTCAGGGTCTGAAGGTACAGGAAAACACACGTATAAAATTGTTTCTGAATTCATTTTATTCTATGTAGCCCTTTCTGGGAAAGAAAAAAATCAAGAGCTAATCAGGGATGGATTTTTTTTTTTTTTTTTTTTTTTCTAAATGGGAAGAGGGAGAAGAAGCCATCCTCTTCTAGAGATCTTCAAGACAGAAGATCTGTGGTTGCAGCCCTGGGACCTAAGCCAGGCTGGTGGATGCCCAAGGAAAAGCAGCTTCTGATTCACCAGGAGTGGGGCCAACTCCTGGAAAGGTGGTGCTGCTGCACCACGTGGAAGGCCAAGGCCAACGGGAATGCCGGGGTCAGGGCGAGGGGGTGAAAGCTGAGGGAGGCCTGGCGCCCACGACAAACAAACCATGCTTTTCATGTGCATAAGYTCAAAGCATCAGGCTTCTAAAACACCCTGTTTACTTCTCCAAGTCAGCTTTGCTTTGCTCAGCAGTGAGGATCACGAGAGAGCCCGCACTGACGCTGCACCCGGCAGCAGTGTTCGCTTGCGCCTGCACCAGGAGTGCACTGAGCTGCTTGTAGGTTCTTGAAACAAAGAGCAAAAAATAAAAATAACAGTTCTTAAACAGGACTGYCCCATAGTTCGTGGATGATTTCCCCCAAAGTATATATTCTTTTAATGGGCCTCCTTTAAATGCTGTGATTGTAATTTTGGGTAAGTGTTTCTTTTTTGAGAAAGTGATAAAATGTAAGTGATAACATAAAAAAAATCCTTATTTCAGTTGCAGTGCATAGTGTTTTTGACTGTAACTTAATGGTTTACATATTAATTTTCTCATCTCTCTGATGGGCAGAAAATTGCTTTAATATAAATGCAGTTAAATTTGTCATTTTATATCTACAGAGCTTAGGTTTCAAAATTTATTACAAGCAGCATCAAATTGTTTCATAGTAATTTAGCAGCTTTTGTGGAAGAAAAATGTGTCAAGTTGCAGGCTGAAGTAAAATTTTTCTCACAATATAATTAATGCCCTTTTTTATATTTATTGTCTAATCAATTATTTTAAAGGCCATTTAAGGAATATAATAAAATTGTTTGATAYTTGCAAAAATTAAGCTGGATTTCTGAGTGGGCAGAGGGATTTTTAACTACCCAAAGAGAAAGAATTAAAATTCACTTTTTACAAGTTAACTTAAAAATAACAACAAGAGTGGTTTGAAAATTCTCTCAGTGTACCAGCAGAGAGAATAAGAAGGAAAATATTTCCTCTACTTTATCAAATCAGCTTTCATTTTGAAAACCATACTTCTGTTCCACTAACACTGATAGCACCTCAAAGTTATAAGGCATGATCTTATGCTGGTACATTATATTATCAACCTCAGTAGGGCTGTTTAAAACTATTTCAGTGGAGGGTCAAAGTCTGATCTTGCTGTTAAGCAGCTGTTTTGAGTCCTCCCCTCACCCGGTACTAATCAATCCTGAAATGATTTTGTAACTTAAATCAGCTGCATAGCACCACTACTATCCAAAGGGACTACAGGTGTGCTTACACTTGAGCAGCATTTTAAGGGCATTTTTGATTTGGGATTTGAATTCTCATATCTCATCTGGAATTGATTCCATCTAGTAATTACTTACMCTGATTATTATTATTATGAATTATTATTCTGCATGAAAAAAATGTCACAAGACAAGGGCACTGTTAAGAGCTATAGTTTTTTCCTAAGCCTGAGAAAAAGGGTTGCAGCAATTTCCTGCACAGGGAAAAGGTGCTCTAGGAAAAAAATGCAACTCAAAGCCCTTCTTGCCCCTCCTCCTGGCCCACCTGAGAGGAGCCACCCTTGTATTGCCTGGCCCTGCTCCAGGTGGGCTCAGCGCCTCCCAGCTCTCTATAGGCACAAGTCCTCCACGTCTCCTCTCCATCATACCAAGCATGAGGTTCCACTGGTTATATTTTCAGCTCAAGTATGAGAGTAACTGGACCATTCCAACAAGTTGAAGGAAAAGGTAATAATGTATGTTTTTTGTTGCTTCAAGAGTTGCAATAAGTAAATCACTTGTATTTCCTCTCTCTCAAACCATTCATGGATTTTCAGTAGCTCTGTCCTCTGTAACCTCCRCTATAACTAAGTGAAGCAGTTACACTGATTTGTGCTCTGCCTGCGTAATGTGGCATGCCAATGTGGTCATTATAATCAAGTCCCAGAATGAAGACAAGCAATAAGGAGATGTAGTAATAATCTCCAAAAAGCAGGCAATTAATGAGGGAAATTCAGTCCTAAAGAAGACAGTGAAGGAATCTGTTGGGAAAGGTTAGGAATATGTTCTTTGACATCAAATTCACTGATATCTTGTGTTTATCTTGTCTTAGTGTTGATGAGGTTCACAGATTTAATCCTAGCTGTAGGAGAATATAACTGTCAGGGAGAAAAGAAATCCAGTCTGGGCTTGAGAATTACCACTGATGATGAATCTAATACAAATTCCCTCAGTCTGCTCTTCAGGATAATACGGAGTTCTTTGCGCCTATCAGTGTAAGGTTTATCTTCCACTTAAGTCATTCTTCAATTTTTCAATATCTTCCTTAAATTTAAATCCCAAATCAGCCATAGGATTCCGGTCTGCACAGTGTGGATGCACTGCTTCTTAATGAATGTTTATCTTTAGCTTCAGATCCTGATATCCTTTTTGGCCGTGGTATTTCATTGATATCCTATGCTCATTTCATTGCCACCAGGAACTCAGTGCCTCTTCCAGTAATGTTATTCCTGAAGCAGAGCCTCTTGTGCATAGGAGCAACTTTGCTGCTACAAGTTTGATTTCATATATGGTCATGCTGTAACGTACAATTTGTTCTGCTCTCTTACAAAAATATTTCCAGGACAAAATTCACGAGTGCATCATCTGCACTGTATCAGTGATGATTTCAGGTTCTCTTACAAGTCACTTTAAAAAGGTCAATAGTTCTGGTGCAGAAATGAGACTTGAAGAGCTAGCAGCTCTTCAGTACAGCTGAGTTCTCCCTAGCTTTGGGAAGGGGACACCAAGCTGTAGGACTGTTGGGTTGATCCAGTGTTCCCATGCTTGTGTTATGTTACACCATTTGATAACGAATTCTTGTAATCATTCAGAAGTACAGATGAGTGTCATGAATCCACTGAATATATGCTGTGTTGATTGTGTGATTGTGTATTGTTCTTAATTAGGAGGGTGCATAGTACCAGGTGAAATGCCTTACCCAAATCTTACATTTATTTACTGAGCTCATAATGTCATAAAATGAAACCACTTTTTTTTTTCCCCCACCATAAAACAGTGTTGATTGGCATTTATTATTTCAACTTTTGTTAATTCTTTTGTAAGTTCTGTACTGCTGTTCCTGTATTTTGCCCAGGATCAATGTGAAGCTGTCAGATCTGAAATCACTCAAGTAATCCCATTTACATTTACACCAGCTTTTTTTTAAGCTCCTGGAACATCCTCAGAAAATTGACAAGTTTWAAAAAAAAATGTAGATATTTCATATGTACTGAGAGTTTTCCGTTTGTTTTTTGGGGGGTATTTTTATAAATGTTGGTATTTTTATGTATGAAACATGCAGGATGTATTTCTGGTTTTCCAGCCTGTCACTTTTTGGCTTTCTTTTAATCCTCACCCAATTCTTTCTCTTTTACTGAAATGTTACCCAAAATTACTATAGAGATTGCACTGGAAAGAGAAAAAGCAGAACATAGCAAGTAACTGTGAAGGATATTTTTAAAAAATGCATCTGTCTTGTATTTATTTTTCAGTATAAAGATGTTAAGAGTTCTGCTTTTAACTTCCATTAAGTAAAAATTGGAATACTAAAATATTAAAAAATTCACAATATGATGATGTGCTGATGCATCTGCTGTATCAGCAGGTTCAGACCTTGGTTGACCCTGTATCAGCAGGTTCTTGGGTCGAAGAAGTTTGTATCCCGGATAAAAGTATGTTTCAGGAAGGAGAGACATGCAGCGAGGGCAGGGGAAGTATATTTATAAATGTAAATATTTTAGGACAGAAAGACATTCAGATTTCATTGAAGGCTCATGAATACCTATTTCTAATATGTTTTCATTAATGACGTGAGACAATTTACAAGGTTGAGTGACAAGACTGACTGAGATTTCAGCCACGTTTTGCAAAAATATTAGCTGCCAGAAAGATGTAATACAAACTATATATGAGTACAGGCTGTCTTCGAGCTTGCTAAATGCTTTGGTTTATATGCCATCTGTCTGTTGCTATCTTTATCTGGTTGAGAATTTTGTTTATATGTCTATATTTAGCATATTGAAAGAAAAAAGATTTTGATTTTTTTTTAAGCGAACTTTGGACAAGATTCAAAACCCATCAGAATAAAAAAAAAAAAAAACACAAAAGCAAAAAAAAACTTGTGCTGGTACAGAACTCAGGGCAAGATTTGCAATGATCTCTGTGTAATCACCCAATATTCCTCAAAAGCAAATATCAGTGAAGCCAACGAGAAAAAATCTTCAATGCCTTCAAGTATCTCTAGCATAGAATGGATCCAAGCTCCTGAATATACATGTTAGGGTTATCAAAGCAGCTGGTGGAGGTCAGGAGACAGGACAGGAGACCTATGGGGACGGGGCCTCCTAGAGCAGAGGGGACTGGAGACAAGGAATGGATGTATCAGGGTGTCTACAATAGCCCTGAATGCCGATGTTTGGGTGTTATACATACAAAGCTGGGTGTACAGAGATAGCTGAGGCCTCTGGTCGGGGGTAAGGTGGGAGCAGCTTGCATGGATAGAGGCTAGAAGACTGCAAGGTTGAAAGGCCTCCAAGTACAGCAGTGTGGCTGGTGTCTTAAAAGAGTTGGGCACAGAGGGTTAGAAAGCTGAGGAGAAGTATGCCCTGGTCATCAAAATATCCCACTGTAGCTTAGGACTATGAACGCATCTTCACTAAGTCTAGGACAGCTGTTATCTTATAAATGGGAAAGCCTGTGATCCCTTTCCGTGGAAGAGGAGCTAGCACTAAAGCAACATAGTGCTACTGCTTTTCATTTCACCRTTTTGTAGGAAATGAAAACCAAAATACTCAAGTTCTTTTCTGACCCAGATACAATATTATGAGCTATTTTCTGGGTAGGTAAAGCCTTTATGTAACTAGGTGGTGGACTCTGGAAGTGGCAAGATAGGAAGTCCATGTTCCTG